CCGCGCTCTGGGAGCAAGACTCAACGGTGGACACAACCACTCACACGCACTAATAACTCTTTAACCGAGCAGAAGCTCGTCAATCGAAACAATTTTCCTGCGATTGGTTCGCTCGTTACCTGAAATGCTCGTAGATAGGGCTGCTTGTCATACAGTTATTTAATAATTTTGCTTCCGGGACGGCAGGTGCATTAGCGTCATGTCCCAAGTTTTTGTGGAGTGTTGTGCGGTATCTTCTATACTTGCCTTCCTCAGTCTGCCAACCAATCTATTTTGATGACATCCCCCACTAGCATATTTTGGTTTGAGGTTCATCCGTTGACGGAAGACGCCTCCGAGGCGGTGACTGCAGTTCCTCAGCCCACTTTATGCTTTCTTTTGATCCACCAGTGCCATTTATTTCGTGCCAATGTAACCCCTGACAAGCCTGGGCAACTGTTTAATGCGTACGGCCATCTGGCCGCCTGGGCTGCCGCTTGGGCAAGTTTTGCGTTCCGATGGCCTCCCTCCCGCCATCGGCTGCACAGAAACACCAGATCGCATCCGCCGTCTCTGCCCCTCGTTGATCGTTGTTTTTACCATTTGTGCTGTGGAGGCGTGCCATGAAAAACGAGAGGAAGCCGGGCTGCGTACTGCAATATAAACCCTAGGGCTTGTAGACAGCTACTGCGACAACCGGTCGGCCTGCATCGTACCTACAGTAGATTCCCTAACTCATGAAACATCACCCGAACTTCTGAGATATGTTTTCTATTTGAATAAATTACTTAAGTTGGGTTATGCTATTGATCATCGCGCAGCATAATCTCAATATAACTTAGTCACGCCAGAATATCGGCTTTTGAGCAGGTCTCTTCCTGATCGCCTGCAAAAACCATGCTCTGTAAACATGGCTATTAAAGTAGTATGCATTTTTCTCACTGATTTTCACTGACTATAAATTCAAATATAATTTTAAAAAAGGCGTGCGCCAAAATATTCTTTTGTAAACACGCTTGGTAGTAAATAACGCCTTATTCAAATAGTATACTCGAAGAAAGAGTACTATCTTAATTGCCAAATAATTGTCAACCCATCCGGCCGTTCGATTTGAATACGAGGTTTCCAAAGTACATGCTGGATAGAGTCTGTCTAAAATAACTCGCATACAGTAGTCGCCGGTTATTAAGCCCACGGTTAATAGGCCCAGCCGCTTATCACAGTAGTCGCCGGTTATTAAGCCCACGGTTAATAGGCCCAGCCGCCTATTAGTCCGAGCTTTTAGCTATTAGAGTAGTCGCCGGTTATTAAGCCCACGGTTAGTAGGCCCAGCCGCGTATTAAGCCAAATTCGGTCTGGGCTGGTGGGCTTAATAACCGGCGACTACTGAAATAGGACTCTCCGGTTAATGCGCCCGCCGCTTATTAAGCCCAATTTGGT